CGCGGCGTGGAAGTTGCGGTGCTCGGCCAGGTCTGTGGGGAAGGGGAAAGGGAGAGCCGGAGTGGGCGGCCGGCAGGAAGGCTGCGTGGGTCCCCTCCTCCTGCGGCCCGGCTGCGGCCCCTCGCTCTTGAATGACCAGAGAGGGGCTGAGGGGGGAAAGGGGGGAAAGTAGTTTTTTGGGTTTTTAGGTTTTCTCAGTTTTCATTCAGAGTTGAAACTTTATCACATATACCGAGAAGCTTGAAAACTCGCTCTCCTATGACCATGGCAAGTAGCGAAGTATAGCCAACCTGGCCTTGCGGTTTCTTGGTTATTATTATTTTTTTATTTCTCTCGTGGCTGTGCTCGAGGAGGAAGGCGTTCAGTAAAGGTGGTTATCGCTCCGAATGCCGTCTGCCAGCATGCGCTTGTGTTTGAGGCAGGGATGGAAAGTGTTTCCTCAACTCAACATGCATGTCGCTTGTCAGTCGAAGGGAAAGTACCTGCGACATTCGAAGTCTTTTCTGTCGAAGTGATTGCAAGCCAGAGGCCTGCTTGCCAAAGAAAAGCTCTGGGTTAGGTGTGTCCCATGTGCATCTGTCCTTTTACGGTGTGGCAATCTGAATTACGTCTTTTTTCATTTTACTTTTAATATTGTCAGCGTTTGCCTGTGTCCATAGAAAGCTGAAAGATTTGTATAAAGAAAACGAGTATAACTAAATCTCATAGAAAATGAGAAAATAAGCGAAATATGTAACTTTTTGACCAGTGAATCTTAGTCAGATGCAATCAAGCGTATGCTTTTCCTCTAAATCGATGGAGAACAGTCCTTTTGTAGAGTATTAAAAGGTCAAAATCACCCTGCTGCTTCACCGATGTGGTTAAATTCACAGGTCTTGCCGCACCTGTGTGTGTACATGCATAATATAGTACAGGGGAATACTGCTGTGCTCGTCTCCTTGGGCTGGAAAGTTTGAGCTCTAACGTGAGGATGAGAGCTGCATGGCAATAAGGGGAGCAGAGAGCCCAAGAGCACCGCATTAGAGTAAGAGCCACTGGAAGTTTTTTGCTTAGGGCACCGCTTGAGCAGGAAGGCTCCGTGAGCTGTCGGCATGCTGCGGACCTGCTCGCTGCAGCAGAGAACGTGAAACACGCTGGGAAGCATTAAAAATACATTGGTTTTATTGAATCAGAGCGGTACAGCCTGGGCCTCTCCCCGAACTAATTGCACGCAATCGCATCCCTCCGTTAATGATGCCGCTGATGGCCTTTTCTCCCCGAAGGCTGCCCCGTATGACGGAGGAGCTGGTCAGATGCGTGTCAGGAGCTCATCCGATGGGAGCCTGCTTCTGCGGTGGGCAGGTTTAGCCTTTGGGAGGAGGAGGAAGGGGGGAGGGAGGGGGGCACAGGGTGTGGCACCATCCCCAGCCCCCCCCCCCCCCCCCTGCACCTCTGCCTTGGCAGCTCCTCGCAGGGTAGGGCTGGGGCTGTCTGCTGGGGAACTGCAGCAAAACTGAAGAGGTCTAATTTTAGTTGGGGTTTTATTCTCTCTTCCAAGAAGGAGCAAGTGAAGGTGAAGCTACAACTTACGTAATTTTTGAATCGAACAGGGTGAGGTCTTCTTTTGTCTGTGGTGGCAACCTGCTGAATATTTAGTCTTTGATGAAAAAGAATTACTGTTCACAGGTTTTTCTTTGAAGGTTTGGGGGGGGGGAGTTTATAGAAAATGTGGGCACTGGTGGTAGGTTTGACCCACAGCAGCGTGCTCACACCTTTATTTGTTAGATTTGTTGTTTGGTGCAATGGTTGTGAATTCCTTGGGGGCTATGAATGGTTATTTTTTTAAAATACGTAGAATGTCACTTCTTTGTATTTCAGCCATGATCTTGAGTTAACAGAAAGTTCTTGAAATGTGTTAAATGTGTTATTCATGGTGGGTGACATTCAGACTTGTTTCATGGAAATCTCATGTACCAGTAAATGACTGCTTGTTGTCTCAGGGAAAACATCAAACCATTTATAAGTGGTTATAAAAGAATACTTGTTTCTCATGAAATGAAGCATCAGCTTTATCTCTCGAGCTACAGTGTTTTCAACATGAAAGTATTAACAACTGTGTGACTTTATCACATCGAAATACATCCTTGGGTGAGAATCTGTGTATGTTCAGTGCACGTTCAATGTATGTTGGGCTTTGAAAACAACGGGTCGGTCCATGCAGGGAGGGCTGTTGTGAGTCTGCAGGATTGTGCTTTTTCAGTATGTATAGCATGGCCCTGGGATATTGTGTTTTAGGATCTTATTTATCACATGTTTAACTGGAAATATGTTATGACTACAGAGTTTTTGAATTTTCAAAGTGTTTTGTTCAGACATAATTTCTCTCTAATCAAGTGAAAATAAATGCATGCATGTAACTGAAAAATATGATTGCTGTCAACTAAGCTGAAAATTAAGCTGAAAACGTGTTTTTCTGAAGGATCACGATGGATTGTTTTTATATGGTGCAAAAGTTACAGAGTATATAAAAGTGTTATCCAGGACTAGACTTAAGTAAGCATCGCTAGGCAGTTTGAATCAGTACCGTAAAGGAAGCCTTTAAAAGAGATGAACTACTGAAAAGATGATGGATTAGCTGGCTTTATAGCATGTTTCTCTTAATTTTTAATCTCCAGTATTAGCCATTTCTAATGGCTGGGGAATGGTCCAAGTCTAAATGTGTATATGGACACATAGCACTTCCTCTCGCATTAGGTGGCTAGAAACATCCAAAGAGAAATGCTTGTTTTCTTTGGAAAGATCTCCATTTCTTAAAATGAACAGCCCAGGTAGAGGAGAAGAGAGTAAGCCCTTATCTTGGCTTCAGTAGGAGAAATCCTACGGGCCCTTTGTGCCTGCCCCTGCCAGTCTCAATCGTTGTCACCATAAGCATCGGTGCAGAGGAAACTCGGGAGGATTGCCGAGGACTAAATATCTGTGGAAAAGCAGAAATGGGTCAGTATTTGGGACAACTGAGTTAAGCTGAGACAATGTGCTGTATAGACAGCAAACTCCGTATCTCCTACATCCTTCCTGAGTAATTGATATAATGCAATTTGAGTAATTGTCAGCTTTTTGTCTCTGGAGGAAAATGAAATCTTTACTTTTTGCTTGGTCTTTGACTGTATCAGCGGAGTTGGTTGTTCTTGAATAAAGCGGATAAAAGCCAAAAGGAAATTATAATAATCTTCTAAATCATGAATCTATTTGCACCTTACGGGACACAGTATATGAAAGAGTAATACATAAATAAAAGTTTAAAAAGTACATAGAAGTAAAAAAGGGGGGGGGGAACCCTTTTTATGTAGAACCCTTCAATTTTTACCCTTTCCTTTATAGATCTTGGAAATACTTTGTGTGCCACAGAGAGAGAATCCCTTTCAGTGGCTTCACTACCTATCAAAACTGATCTGTTGACAAGCTGAGAAACAAAAGGAGTACTGAAATCTGCATGAGGATCACCCGCCAGATGTTTGATCCCACTGAGAAAAGTCTTTATAGTTCAGAGGGTTAAAGAAGAATGTGGAAACTGGGGACTCAGAGCGTGTGTGTGGGGTAAAGGGCTAGAATAAATGGAAAGCATATGTGAATATAAAGAAATATTTTGGGAAGTGAGGGGAGCGTAAAGAGAAGAAAGCAGGATACAATTTTGGATACATGCTCACATGCATGTATTTGTATGAAACGTGTGTTTACTGACAAATGTGACAGAAAGGAAAAGTCATAGTGCTGCTCTAACGAGTTAGAGGTGGGAGAAGGCAGCTCCCGCATGGAATGGAGAATGGTTGATGTTTCTGGTTTTGGGCTATGTTAAAATCTGAACTACCAAGGTATAGCATGTGCCTATTGCTTGGCTTTTACTGCAGCCTTTTTCCTAAAACAGGGGCTGGGTTTTGATCCCAGATGGGCTGCAGGTAGCAAGTGGGGGAATATATTTGAGGTGGGAACAGCTGACCCTGGCAGGCTCTTGGTTGGAGCCCTGTTGATGGATGATGGGATGTTCATGGGAGAGAGGAAGGGAAAACACCCGTCTCCGGCCTGTGTCAGACCAGAGCAAGTCGCACGCTTACGCCTGTGGTTTTTCTGTTCTCTTTAGTTGTGTCCTGCTCCCCCAGCCAGGCTCTTGCCTGTCACTCCCACTGCACATCCCCTTCCCCCGGCTGTTGTCCCTGGCTGGGTGCCCCTTCCCTTGGGCTCCCTGGCAGGGTCCCTGCTGGGGCAGGAGCCTCTGGCACCATCCATCCTTCCCATCACCCAGGCAGGTGGCCGAGCCCCTGCCCCTCTTCCCCTCCTCCCGATTTTGGATTGTCCCTCCGCGCTCCTCATCCTCATAGCTTCGCTCCTTGTAGTGGCTCAGCCTCAGCGCTCTCCACGTACCCGGAGGAGCAGAGGAGGTGAGTAAATCCCAGGAGGCAGCCACACGCCGGGGTGTTCCAGCAGCCTTTCCCCGGTGGCGGGATTTGACACGGCTCCCGGCAGCCGGGGAGCATGACATTGCTGGTGGCAGTGGAGCAGGAGGAGTCCCTGGTGGTGGAGGTTACCTTGTTTACTCCTTATGAATCTGAGGGCAATTATGTGTAACACCTTCTGGTTTCCTAGGACATACTGGCTGCAAATAAAATCTTGTTTAATAAGCCAGCAAATGCAAACAGGCTGTGAAGAGGAAAAAAAAGCTCTTCCAGACCTAGGAAACATATGTTTATGCTAACTGAGAGACCTGTTCTTGCACCCTGACATGCGTTGGAGAGTATCTTTATCTGCCAGTCCTCCCACAGAAGTCAGTAAGCCTGTCTGTGAAGCAAGGCTCAATTCGGTTTAGATAGAGGTATCAAAATCTGACCCTACCAAATCGTAGCTTAGGTCGGGAAGCTGTAATCTCTTTAAGGACCCTGGAGATGATTACTTCACCAGGTCCGCTGAATTCATCGCTGTTTTCTTCCGACTAATTTACCGCATAATAAACCCTTGCAGAGCAAGGGTTGGGGCAGGCAGTGCTCAGCCCCCCTGCTCCC